AATCTTTTCCTTTACAGCGTTTCGTACAACAAGTATGTCCGTTTCTGTGTATGGCTTTGGGTCTTTTTTCTTCTCTGGTGGGATGTGCTGAGATTGGACGGCATCCCATATCAGTAAGAACAAGCCTCGAAGATGCTTCAATTCTGGAATGGTATGACTTAGGTATAACATATTAGATCCTTTATCGAGTAGTAGAGAATTCACTTCGTCGACAATGAGAACATCCGGAGACTTGGGACTTATGATGTTTCTTCCGTAAAATTCAGAGTGCAGTATATCCGCTTGGAATCCGGCTAACTCACCATTCACGACATGATTGTTATTGTATCGGTTCCGTCTCTCGTCATCCCCGACTGCTTTCTTGTCACAATTGTTTCCACACTTGAGTCCCAGTATTTCGAAGAAGGTCTGAAATTCGTCACTGTCTGCAAGGGCGAGCACTTTGTTGGAAGTTATGACATGGACGGAGCCCTTAAGTAGTGCTGAGAATGCCGCAAACATCACCACTATACTTGACTTGCCTTCTCCTGTGTTGATCTGTCCAAGGCGACCGTTCCTTGTTCCATCAGTCGCTTTCTCTGTCAAACCCTGGATGAGCATGAAGACCGAAAACAGTTTCGCATCTCGCGGGTGCTTCCATTTTTCATGAGGCAGATTTTCAAGCTTATCCGCCTTGGCGTAGTGCCACTCTATGGCACGAAATATGATGGCCATTGTAGAAATTATGCAATCATCTCGTGCATCTAGACCGCGGTTAGCTACGTTGCCGTGTTCTTTTTTCCATCCAGTTACCCAATTTTTTACTTTGGTTTCCAGGTCATCCCGCTTGTACGATCCATTTGAAAGGGGGTAGCTTGTGTTTAGCTTGCGTTTGAGAATGTCAATGCATTCTTCTGTTCGTTTTATCCGAGCTAAGTGATCTTCTCCCCTGCTATTTATTTCCATCCCTTTGGCAACTTCGCAAATACTTTCTGCGGTTAACTCGTTCTTCCTTAGCTCAGTGCAAGCGTCTGATATTTTATTTTGAATGAAGGCAACGGGCTGGGACGGGTTTAGCATACCCAAAGTGGTGGAACACAGTATCCAGTCTCCACTTTCAAAATTTTTTATGATCGATTCCACGGTTTCTGCCGCATCGGAAGGAAATTTTACCAAAGCGTCGGCCAACTTGTCAACTAAATCTTCTGTATATTTTTCGTCCATGCAAAGTAGCGCGTCAGTAGCGTATCCAGATAGTTATGACAAAGCTAGACCAACTCGCACAATGCGGATCACGCGAGGCCAGTATGCAAAAGTGGCGATGCCTTCCTTGGTATCAAGAAGTTGTAATACCTTCCTCAAATCGTACGGCCTAAGAACTGCATGAACCATAGCTTGGATTACCTTGTACGCAATGGTAAGGAAGTTATTCTTGTCTTTCCCTTGAAATTCTTCATCTCGTGCTTTTTTCATCATGTTATGCATCATTACGAGAAACCGAATTTTGGCAGAATTAAGTGGTTCTAGAAATTTATCCAGGAGTTGGCAAACAGACGGGTTTAATGTTGTTTGTATTTCTTGAAAATGGTGTTGAGTACATGCTGTCAAAATAGTCTTCAGCCAGCTTTGTGGGAAACGATTTTCGGTAATTATCTTCAAGTCTCGCAAACTGATGTCGCGTATCAAGGTGAGAAACATTTTCACACTTCGAGCGTTCTTAAATAGCCAGAATTCGGCGCGATCATCCTTCTCAGCTATTTCGCAAAGTAATTCCAACCACTCAATTCTCTTTCCGTGGGGTTGGAGTAGGTATGAAAGTTTAAAGCAGGAATACAGTTGCGCTTTTTTCATTGCTCGGAAGATAGCGGCCGCTGTGTGTCTACTCATCCGTTTTTTGTTTGTCATATCTGCAGTTAGTTTGATGTCAACAATATTTGGAGTCAAATTATTTGTTGGCGCTAAGACTTTTTCGTCGCTAGCTGGCTGTTTTCAAAGACTGTTTTCTTTTCTTGGTATTGACAAGGATGAAGTGGTAAAAAAGTCGTGAATATTTGACCAACAGTTTCTAGTCACGTGGTGGAAGACAAGATTGAAATATCACCTTTCTAGCCAATTGTACCATGCCTCCTGGGGAAGGTCGCATATGGCTTTGCGCAGTTTGGACAAACACGTTTCCAGATTAGACATGGCTACGATCTTATTCCAAAGCAATTCTTCATCTGGGAACAGTATGCATTCAATAAAGTTGACGCCCGATTTAAAATTTTGGATATGTGTGCGTAGGCTGTCGAGGATAAAATCGGATGTTATTGTTTGATCGTGTGTGGCAGAAAGTGTATCAATTGGCTTGGTGATTTTCAATTTCCTCTCTGAAATGTTTTCGATAAGGCGAAAGATGAACGGAAAAGAGGCATGGTTGGGTTTAATCGTCAGGAGAACATCAGCAAGTTGATGGCGCATCATCTTTGCGTCCGACTTTATTTCTAGGATTGCGTTTCGTAGTACATTCCAACGAAATTCTTCGGAGATGTCAGACTCGCCACCGTATTCCATAATTTGTGTTAGGACTTGACGCAGACGTTTTTCCCTTTTATCCGGTAGTGTATAAACTTCCGTTAGAACCTTTGCCATGTGCGCAAATGGATTTCCTTTTGTTCTCAGAAGCATCCACTGAAGAACCAATGACCGCATTTTGTTATTAGGGGATTGAATTGGTCTCTCATTTTGGCTTGGGCAAGGAAAAGACGTATATATTAGTTTTCCACGTTCAGCCGCATTAGCTGGACCAAGACCTTTCCAAACATTGTTGACTAAGTTGATTGCATACTGGGCGGCTACTAAAAGTGGTGTTGAATAGTTTAAGATCTCCTGTAATCTATCTTCTCCTTCCTTCTCCATATTCTGCATCGTGATCCAGCTTTCTTTAGAAGCTCGGGCTTGTCTTTGGTGAAAAGAGAAAATGTCAGGGTACGCGGATTTTTCTGGCTTCTCTAAGAATTCGAGAGCTTATATTATTACAGTTTTCTCGATTTCATCCAAACCAGTGTCTTCTTCCATCATTACTTGCTTAATCTTGACAAACCTCTCGAAATCTGCCTTACCTGGACTCTCCATTTTCCATCTAATCAATGAAAGCGCGGCTGGCATGAGGTTCGCATATTCTTTAAATCCGTTCCTGTCCGTAAACGCTGAAAAATATTGGCTCATTAAGGTCACGTTTTCGCAATAATCATTGCAAGGCTTAATTTGCTTTTCCAAAACATTCAGCACTGCGACAATATCACTTTTGTCAGATTCTATGATTTTCCTCTTTAGTTTCCCCATTTCATCACAATTGCCTTGCTTTACGAGGTAGATCTCCAGGTTAAGCATCAAGAATTCGATATACTTCCGTAACTTCTTCTCGCCAATAAGGTCACTCTCCGAAGAGCTCGCGCGAAGCGAATCTAGTAGAATGGAAGTTATCTCCTTACGGTCTGCTTTACATTTGTCCACATTATATCTATCCAGGCTATGTAGAATTTTGGTAGCAGATTTTAAGGCGTCATTCTGTTGTAAAACAGCCGCAATTTTTAAAATTTCAATCCAATTAGTATCCGTCACGCATGCCCACAAGGTGCTCTCTACTTCCGCCAACTCGTTAAGAGTAAAGTCGATCAGTGTATTGCCCTCAAGTTTCCCAACATCCAAACAGAACTTAACGACGTCCATGCCCTCACGGCTGCCTTCGGTGGCAGCCTTCTCGATATACTTTAAGAATTCGTAAAAATCGAAACTTGACCCAGACTTGATGAAGGTAAAGTCGGAAAAATTGTAGAGCCTGGAGAAGATTTCATTCCACCGCTTTAGTTTTGTGTCAAGGGCAATCAAATACCTTGTCTTGGTAAAGAATGTAGGAGGTGACGTTTTACTTGATGTGTTAATGTAGAGGTCATAAAGGTTGCCGAACGTGCGCTTCACTCCTTCATCCCCTTTAATGGTACTAATTTTTATTATGTGCTTCAGATGATCCACACTTTCGTACCGGTATGACGAAAGCAAAAGCTTTTTGATACAATCGAGTACATACAGGTGTTCTTCGCTTCCTCCATTTTTGGCCTTGGTTTCTAATTGAAGTATCATCGGGAGAATTTTATTCGTATTGAAGTCTTCTTCTAGGTTCCTTACAAACTTGATCAATTTCACCTTTACGTCATCGGTGCTATCCCTGGTCTGCATACCAATCAAGTCTTGTCTGATGTTCCACAGCTCTTCAGCACTAAGGTTCATCAATGGTATAAGATTTATTAATGATGACAGAATTTTGTCAACTTCATCAGCATTACTGGGCGAATATTTTTGTAAGAACGGCTCTAGCTTTCCAAAGGGAAAAGTGTCATTACCAAAGAAGCACGTGAATGAGTAGAGTTTTCCTGGCTCTGTTTCCTTGTTGGCGGCTTCCTTAAGTCGATCAAGATATTTATCAAGCGGTTCAAGAAACTTGGAATCCACAATGGATAAAGCGGCATGAATTATGCCTCCTTGTCTCATAAATCTCTCCTTTAGCTCATTCTGTTGTGAAGACGGTAGCGTAGAAATAACACCAACGTTACTTGATGGTATATTCTTCCACACATTGATGGCGGAGAGGAGTTGGTAATTTGCTTGTATTGGTTGCAGTTGCCGTAAGATGGCAGGGTCGTCGATGAGCTTTCTTAAGTCCGTGGGAAGCACATGTTTTCCTGTTCTAACGTTCCGAAGCAGCTGCAACCAGTGAATCGAGCCATAACTTAGTTTATCAATTAGAAATTTTTCTGATGTGGTTAACTCCCGTGACCTGGCAAAATTAACATCTTTCATCATTTCCGTTTCTAAATAATTTTGAAGATCTAACGCTCCAAGTTGTGGATCAGAGCAGATTTTAATTAAGTGTTCCTCCTCTTTCTCTGTTAGAGATCCATATTTCTGAACCATCGTTCAGGGTTTCAAGAGCATCAGATGTCGCCGTTGACATGAATTTTTCATCGTTTGCCAATTGCGCTTTTAGTTTCAGGAAAAGTTTATACACCAGGTTAACAGTAGACTTTTTCCAAAAGCACTATCAACGTTTTCCTCGCTTGCAGTTGAAATTGATTTGGTGACCTCATCGCCAAGGGATAGCCCACCTTTTGTTGATAAAGTTGTCGTTGCAGTTTCGACGTCCTGTCTCATCTGCGACTGGACTTGCGCAGTCATTTGAAGGGCGCCATCTTGTGCGTCTTTTGCACTTAGGGCCATTTGCTCAAGGGCCTTGGCATTCTTTTCCGCTTCCTCTTTCATGTTATTGGCTGCTATGATATCCTGCAAAAGCATTTGGTTTTCTTGCTTCGAGGCACTGTTACGAGCTTGCAGCGCTATCTTCTCATTATGCATTCGCTCAATGGTCTGCATGCTTTTTGTGACTTTATCCTGTATTCCTGAAACATCCCCGCTGGCGGAAGCTATACCTTCTTTTACTTTCTGTTCAACATGGGTCTCTTTTGACGCTAGCTGATTTTTTCCAGTAAGCTGTTGGCGATGACTCATCACAATTTGTTTTACTAATTCAACAGCACTGGCGGAAATGGAGTTCTTTTGCGTTTGAACTTGAATTTGCTGAGACATTTTTGCAATGGACTTGTTTCGCGTGCGAGCAGGACGGACTGGTGTGTCACCAGTACGTAATGTATACCCACAAACGTACCAAAATCTGTATTCCTCCTTCGAAGTGATATTATAGCCTTTAGTTTCTATCCAAGATTGAAAACCCGACGCGCAAGCCCAACCATGATCTTTTCCCTTGATTCCGTCCAGCCCATCTTGACCTGGCTTACCGTGTGCTTTAGTAGCACCACACGAGCCATGGCTATTCTCATATATTGGATTGTGGATCTTGTCATTGACACTGAGAACGTATTTTCCTCCAAGCCCGCCTGCCCCACCATTTCCACCGCAACCACCCTCACCGCCTTTCTGTCCCCGCTCGCCATTCTTGCCTCTTTCAATCCTACAGTAGTCTGAAACAGCAAAGCTTGTTGCCCAATTCATCTCTACCTTCCCGTCATCTCCATCTCCCCCATCCCTTCCACAATGCCCGTCCCCGCCTTCTTGTCCATCTGAACCAGAGCCTCCTTGACAAATGACGGTGAGGTTTTCGGAATTTCGAAATTCGGTAATAATTTCAATATGCACGTCCCCACTGTGCTCGCCATTGAATCCATGAGCACCGTTTGAACCTGGTGCACCAAAATTGCTAGCATTGCTTGCCTTGGACTCCTTATGAGAAGCCGCGTTTAGTCCGGACACATCCACATGAAGGTTATGCTCTGCTACTAAAGCGGTTTGAGCAATGATGATTATGTTAACTCCATGAAAAAATTCGTTTTTTAGACTCTCATCCAAAATGAATGTACCACGGCAGGCAAACTTGACTTGCCGGACATAGCGTGATTCCAGATATTGTCGAATTTTTGGTAACACTCCGCTAACGATGACGTTATCCCCAGAAATGTCAATGTCACCAGAGGACTCGTCCATTTCTAAGCATGGCGTGGAGGTGACGTATTGGAGACAATCTTGTATTAACCTTCTGTCCGCGGAGTTATTCTTACTAGCGCGAGCATTTAGTTGTGGTAGGTACGTTTTCTTGGTTTTAGAAAAGTTGCATATTTTGCAAAGCTTGCTAACTACCTCTGATGTAGACATTGTTTCCATGCTTCCAAGATTCATTAGAGCCTTAGTAATGTTTGCAATATCACCGGCAAACGGATCTGAAATGTCGTTGAGGAACTCGTTGAGTGCCTTTTGTTCTTCCATTTTAACCATTTCCGCTTTCATATTGTGGAGTAATTGTTCCTTTTTAGAAGCTTGTTCTTTTAAAATCTTTGAATCTGCTGTTGCTGATTGAATGCTTTCTTCCATCAATCTAACTTTCTCTGCTGTATCCGCTATTTTCTTCTGTAAAAGGATTGACTGTTTCTTTCTTCTTTCCGCCCGGAGCATAGCCTCGAGAGCTATTTCTTCCTGTTTCTCCTTTTCTTTTAGGATGATGGCCCTTAATGGAAAATACAGTTCGTTCGTGAATGCTTGAATTAAACTTAACCGGATGGTGTCGTTCTCGCTGAGAGGCAGAACTCTTCCAAGTTCTTCTATTGTTTTGATAATGTACTCGTTGATGCAACCGTTTGGAAAGATAGTCTTCCAAAGTTCGCTATATTCCAGACATTCGGCTGCTTGTCGTACAAGAACGTTGAGTTTGTCTGTAGTTTCTGGACCAGAAAGTATGCTTGGCAGGTCTAAAAAAATATTCCGCTCTTCTACGGCTGACCGTAAAATGTGGAACTGTACAAGCTGATCAACTAGTTTCTGCGCCAATTTGAAAGCTTGCAAATGAATCTGTTCCATTTTTGTAATTAATCGGTACTCCTTGCCAGGAAGTGCTACTATGTAGATTCCCCTTGTGTCCTCAGCAATTAGTTCTAAGAAATTTCTGTCATCCAATGGTGCCCGTGTGGGAGTGATTGACGGATCGTGTGATACATTTATTTTTTCGGATGCAAATAATTTTCCATACGCAAAATTTTCTTTTTCGGACGAGAATTCTAGGGTATAGATGGTGAAATCCGTCTTGAAGAATTGGCTGATGAGCGATTGCTGTTGAGAAATGGCATGCGAGCCGCCCATATCTCTAGCTCGCCACAGTGCAGAAAGAAACTTGAATCGCTGGTTGTCATCAAGACGTTCTGTTACCCACTTCCATTCGTTTTCAAAATCCTGGTAACTTTCCTGGTCAAGTGGTAGGAATATCCAGGCATGGTTCGAGATGTTTTGCAAAATGGGTAAAATTGGATCCTCGTTCCCCTCTGCAAGCCCATAGCCGTGTGTGCTTAACCAAGCCTCAACATGCAGAGTTGAGGTAAGCCCCGAATTACTTTGGCTATTCAATTTCCTGTAGAGTTTAGTTACCATTTGCAATTTAAAAATCAAAAATATGGGAGCGAGGTGAATGATTTAGGTATAAGCATTTGAAATCCATGCAAGCATAATGACAGAAATATACGGACTTTATAGGCTTAACGTGTATCCTGCTGAAGGCATAGTGAAAAATATGTCGAGCCCCGTGCGAAATGGATTTGACTAACTATAGTATTTTCATGATTGTCGCAAAGTATCTACTAATAAAATCAGCCAGAAATTTTGCATAAGAGTGATTGGTAAATAATTGATTACGTACCGCTTTGCACTTCCAGTACCCCCATCCATTACTTGTTCGTCGTCTGAACCAGGTACTTTAAACAGACGCTCCAAGCCATTTTCATTCTCGGATTCATCAGAAGAAGAATTTTCACTAATCACATCATCTGACCTGCAATAAACGTAAATTTCCGATAAAAACTTATACTACATATATTTAAAGCAGCCTAAGCATTAACAAATAATACTTATGCATAGGGTTGGAGGGTTGTCCGCGCCCTTGGCGTGTAGGCATTTATGGCATCAGGCATTTGTCCTCTTTTCCCGGCATTTAAATTAATGCCCCCATAAGCTCAATGTTATAATAACTGCCTAGGGCATTGTCTGCCCTCGGCATGCTTTGTCGACCAGTCATCCGTCGACAAGTTGATATTGACGACAAGTTAGTTTGGCGACCAGTAGTACGGCGACCAATTACATGTCGACGAGACGTTTCTCACCCACTCGTCCTAAACCCTTGTGCACAGCATTATTTTTAAAATGACCTATGTGTACACATGTATCTAGTTATAGCTAAATACTGCGATTATAACTAAATACATGTTAGTATATAGGTTATTTCGAATTAAGATTCGACTCCAGATAGGTCTTTTTAGAATTATGTACATAGTCCGCCGATATGTCAATATCCATATGTATATATTATGTTACTAGAATGAAATGTAACCAGAAAATTATAACGTACCTTGAAGTATTTTCTTTGTCATCCTCATCCTCATCCATTTCTTCTTCTTCTTCTAGGACACATTCCTCTTCATCTTCTCCTTCTTCTACGAATTCCTCTTCTTCTATCGCGTCATCCTCCTTTTCATTTTCACTCTCGGATTCACCCCGTGATGAACTGGTATTGGTCGAATCGTCGGAAGACATTTTTTTACCTGCAAATAGCCGTACATATTCATTACAAGAAGGTGACGACAATCTACAATTATTGATAGCCTGATTTTTTCTGCGAAGACTAATTACTCAAGATCCTGTGTATCAGGTGTTTTATAATCATGCCATTTTTTAATTAAAAGCTAATTGTTACTAATATGCAAAATTAAAATTCGACCCTCACAATCAAAGGTTGAAAAATTCCAAATAAGTTGGCCTACTGTTCTAAATCTTGGGGATTCCAGAGGATTACAAAACAGTATGTATGTAGTTGTATGGAGCTGCGCATATATATATATATATATATATATATATATATATATATATATATGTTCTAGCTGATTTCAAAACCCAAATTCAAAATTTCTTACTTGATTCACAGTTTTTTCAGTAAGTATTTGAATTTGACTGGCAAATTAAAATTTTAATTAATAAGAATTTTTGTTAACTCAATTTTGTTTAGCAGTAATCAACGGTATCCTGGATTTAGTGAAATTTACGTAGCCTAGAATTTAGGGTAGAGTAACTATTTTTGAACAGGTCACGTTACTTTTGAGGGTGTATATGTAAGTACCTATTACATATTTATGTCAAACATTTATACACCTGTAACTACCTACTTGTGTAATAAACCCTCCTTATTCAGTGTGCCCTGATGCCACTGGATTTCTGGTTGTGGGGCACCCTCCATCAGGGTTCGGAAAAACCCAGGGTTTTAATCAAAAATAAACCGTTGTAACGTTAGAAGTAGCTCACCCTGTAATAATCATTTTGGTATAATTTGGCACCAATGGTGCAGATAAAATAGATACGCAATTTTGGCAAAATTTTACATTAATGGTGCAGAATATGCAGAACAAAGATATATGTAATTGGGATATAATTTTGCACCAATGGTGCAAAATACCAGCAAAATATCATGGTGCAAAATATCATGGAAGAGCAACCATGATTTTGACATAAAACCTTAAAAAATTTGACGTCAAAATCATAAGTGTTTGTGACGGTTCTTCTGCACTTTTGGTGCGTTTAGCATATATTTTCCCAATTGTTTCGCACCATTTTGAGTCTCCGATTGTTCGATATCAGTGGTGCTAATAAGTCAGTCAGGAATGCCAATAACTGGCTCTAATTAGCATCAATTGATGCAAAAGAGTCGTAAACAGACCGAGAGACAGACGGACGGACAGACGGACAAGAGGAATTCAATAGCTCCCGTGCTACGCAGGGTGAGCTAATAATAAATCCCATGGGTTTTAATGGGTTTTACCATGTTAAGTGGGTTTTATTTGGGTTTTATTGGGTTTTAATGGGTTTAATTGGGTTTTATTGGGTTTTAATGGGTTTTATTGGGTTTTTAGTATTAACGTGACAAAAATAATTCACAATTATTGCAAATTCAATCCCAATCATATATACAATCCATTTGTTCATATTGGAATATGTATCGATTCCGAAATTATATTTTTTTGTAAAATTTGAAATCTGTGATGCTAAAGGATGGAGTCAATTGTTGATTTCTTCCGGACTTTCATATATTATTATAGTGATGAAATTAACTGCTTTGGGATAACGTCTTCTAATGTATAGGAGATATATTTAACTTTTAGAATGTAGTTTTAAGGTAAAACTCAATTAAAACCCAATAAAACCCAATAAAACCCATTAAAACCCACTTAACATGGTAAAACCCAATGGGTTTTATTCATTTACAACCCATAAAACCCAATAAAACCCAACCCATTAAAACCCAGGTCGGAATACCCTGGCAGTAATATCTATGTAAAACTAAACAATTGGGGGCACAATACACATACACCTACACATATATGTGACGGACTCTCGCTAATGGTATACATTGACTGTAACTCTATTTTTTAATTTAAAAATAAGTACCCGAAATGGATTCACATCCCGGCAAAAAAAATCGCAAAAATAATTTTTAGTCAAATTGCCCCACCCCCTCGCCCCCAGACGCCCCCAAAGGACCCCAGCGCTGGGTCAGCTTTTTCTCGGCGCCCAAAGCAGATAACCTCACCAAACTTGGCATGGGCCTCTCATTTGAGGTCGTTCTTACTGACATGAAGTAATGAACCCCCTAGGTCAAAATCTATAATGCCCTTGACCTGAAAATTTCGGTCATTTTTTTCGTTTTTTCTATATATTGTTCGTGTTTATGAAATGTTATCTACTTCAAAACCCTGCAGAAACCCTATATTCTGCGTCCAATGCCGGTGGTCCGGACCTCCTAGCTCAAAAACGAAGGGTACTTTGTAGGAAGACCGACTTTGGTCGAAATTGCGACAAAGTACCCTTAATGCTAACTTTCTTAATGACCGCTGGTTCGATTTGCTTCAAATTTTGGTATGTTATTGACTCTTAGTAAGCGAATATAATTAAATTACCGGTAGGTCGAAATCGACCTGCGTGACCTTGTTTCAGAGGTCAGCGGGATAAATCGGAAGATAAAGTCTCACATAACCCCATACGTGGGGTATCGTTGAAAAGGTCTTGATGAGAGGATTAAGAATATGTATACTTTGTGGGGTCTTGGATCACCCCCTCGTGGTCCAGGGGCAGAGAGACAAGAAATCTCGATTCTCCAGAATTTAACACAGCCGTAGATTGGAAGCTAATAGGACAAATATACAGACAAACTCAAAAATATTCTTCTGCCTCTGGACCACCAGGGGGTGGTCCAATACCCCACAAAGTATATATATTCTGAATTCTATACATTTCATAAACACGAACAATATATAGAAAAAACGAAAAAAATGACCGAAATTTTCAGGTCAAGGGCATTATAGATTTTGACCTAGGGGGTTCATTACTTCATGTCAGTAAGAACGACCTCAAATGAGAGGCCCATGCCAAGTTTGGTGAGGTTATCTGCTTTGGGCGCCGAGAAAAAGCTGACCCAGCGCTGGGGTCCTTTGGGGGCGTCTGGGGGCGAGGGGGTGGGGCAATTTGACTAAAAATTATTTTTGCGATTTTTTTTGCCGGGATGTGAATCCATTTCGGGTACTTATTTTTAAATTAAAAAATAGAGTTACAGTCAATGTATACCATTAGCGAGAGTCCGTCATGTATAAGTATATATGTACATACGTAATGGCAATTTAAGTAGGAAATATCCCCATTTAGAAATTTTCGTTGTTTTTTTACATGCCATTTCAATGCTAACTCTATTTATACACAGTCAAATTATTTTCCCACTGCTCAAGACAAGAGACTATATAAATACATAACGTATATAAATACATCCAAACGCTTCACTGGGTTTGATGAATTTCTCCAGACTCCCATCTCCTCTTTTAACTTATGGACAAACCCAACGGCACGACATTTATTGACTCGTTTGCATACTTGCTTAATGTAATAACCATGTCACTGTGAAACTAACCTGACTAAACACGCCGGCTTACTGACATATTTAGTTAGTACCTATATACACAATGAGATTGCCTTTTTTTCATCTCCCAACGATTTTGAAGTTTGATAGCTTAAAATTTTCGTAATTTTGTGTACATTAAGAATCTGCAATAATATTGGGGGGGTATCCCAGCAGTTTTCGAGATAAAAGCCAAAATGTGCGAATTTTTTGAGAATTTTGAGAAATTAGATTTTTGGCTATAAATCGTCAAAATCCAGCCAAATATCACTGGAAATAATTTAAAAAATTATTTTGCACCAGAATTTGGCCACTGCCTCGAATTCGGGCTCTCAGTTTCCAATTTGGAGAATTTTGTTATGTACACGTGATCAATCTTAATGGTTCAAGAAACCTTGAATTGATGAAACCCCTTCCAACATTCAATTTCATTATGTACAGTGTACTCCAAAAAGCAAAACAGCAGCCAAAAATTCCTCCTTTTTGGTGGTTTGCTTTTTTTGCCATTACTAGCCTTCCCCCTCGGCGTTTCGCGCCCTTAAACCTCCTCCCACCCACCAACCGGGCGACACATATTCCGAGCCGTTTCGCGCCCTGAACCCTACCCGAAGAAATATCAATCCGACAAATAATATTAATACAAAAAAAACATACCACTTAATCCACCGGTTGCAAATCCATAAGTAAATATGTATGCGTAGGACGCTAAAATCTTTAAACTTTAGCACGAAAGCAATTTTTCAATGTTCTATACATAAATGATAACAAATTAATTACTAACTTAATTGTTATTGCTCATAATTTCTGGATAATTAAATTTAACTTACCAAATAATTTTCTTGGATAAAAAATTCGTTTCTTGCATCACTTGGAGAATCGCTTACTCCTGGTTGCTATGACAGCCCACAAACATTTACTGGCCATGGTGGATGTAACTTTTTTCTTTAAGTAGGGCAACTCATCAGTGGAATTTATGGTGTTGATGAGCACGTTACGCAACACTATGTTGGATGGAAGAAAATCCCAGGGCCATAAATATGTGCTTTACAAGCATTAAAGTCTGCCCATCGTGGAGTATGGAGTGTTTACGTAAACCAAATAAAGCGATAATATGGCATGTCATCACTGCAAATATGGACCACGGCTGACTTTATCTATACTTTGTGGAGTGTCTGCATAACTTGAAAATATAAATAAATAGGTTTGTATTATCTTGTTATGTTCACTTTTCACACAGGTAACTATATTATACAACACATACAATACAAGAATCCGGTAACAAGGATGTTACCAAAGTTGTAATTTGGTGTTACCGACTGGTAATAAATATGTATACATACCAATTTACCGGTATTGAATTTGTTGCCAAGTTGGTAATTTGTGCGAGTATAGGGGTACTCGAATAACTATATACATAGATACATAAAACAGTTTGGACGAAGTTGGAAGTAGTATTAATGGTCCAGTCTGGAGAATTTATTTACCTTCACGTATGTATAACTGCCATCTACATAAACCTGTATAACTTATGTCATAATCGATTCATCCATATTCCAGTGAATCACATCCTTCATGCACGGCCCAAACTATGCAAATATCTGCGTGTAAATACTTCAATGGTTTTGATGAAGATCGCACAACTCCCATCTTCTTTATAACCTACAAACAAAACCTAACCAAACCACTGCGCACTGAATTCATTTGGACTTTGGTTAAATCCAACATATCCAACTTTCCACTCTATGTGATTAGATAAACTTTGGCTCCACGGAGACGAAAACCAGATCCTACTTTAGCTCTGGTCAAGTTTAATTAAATTTATTGCCATTCCCCGTGTTCTTTTGGATAGTGAGACAAATTTACGATACATATGTACATACAAGTAATTGAGTCCTATTCTTATTACATCAATCCATCCACAATATTCAGATAGTAATATTTATCAATTTTTTTTATTGGTCAGCCATGCTACCACAAGCTTAAACACATAAATATATAAATTGTGTTTATGTACAATCCTTTCAGCGGAGCGATATCTTATCAAAACCTTTTGGTTGACCAAACCATAAATATTTTACGAAACAATTACAACTCTCAGTCATACATAACCGAGATACATAAAATATAGTGGTCACGTCTTAGAATGAATTTCCGTAAGACAATTTAAACCTTATTTTAAAACAAGTCTTAAAATTATATTCGTTTAATTCCTTCATGAATTTTTAGAACAAACCGAGTCACAATCTGCGTCACAAAAGGTTACGGTTGAGTCCTCTACCGGGCTGAAGGAATCTTCCGTTGTTGGAGCAGCTAAATCTGCGCTTGATGGAAGTCACCATGCTGCGCAAGTACAAGAACAAGTTACTCAAGCAAGCGCGGCGGAGTTGAGTGCGGGCGCGAAGCAGTTGGCCAACACGGTGGCTGCGGCTGCGTCAAAAATTTCGAGCGAATCGATAAGTCAGGTGGCCGGGGTAATTTGGGATGATTTCAAAAGTAAGCGGGGAATTGGATATATTTTTTTATATGATATTTAACCAATTTGTTGAAATCACGATTTTCGTACTCACAAATATTTATAGCTTGTAGTAATACCATGTTCTATCTATACATGACTCTACCACCATGATAATGATTTTGTAACCGCCCTGGTGTAAATTAATTACCATGGCGGTAATAACTACAACTGAGGGATAAAAATTATTAATTTAATTGTGGTAGCAAATTGATAGTCATCAGACAATAAATTTATTATTTACCATTAGAGTCGCCTATTATTGTGGCTGGCAACACCACTACCTAATGACGAACTTAAATTTATTTTTTTCCACAGAAATGTCGCCATGGGAAAAGTTTTTCGCCGTCTTGGCAGCCACTGTTGTCGTAGGAGCTGCTGGATACTGTTCATGGAAGCTGTTGGGAGGAAGTAAAGTCATTTCTTTACTTTTTAACATGAGTCTGGGCTTGTAATACCGTCATGTCTGATTTCCTGTCTGTCATCCGCGCACACGCCACCTGTTGTAACATTTCTTCCATTGAGTTGACAATATTACTGTATGTATATTGAACAAAATTAGGAATACATTTCCAAGATAGGAGAGGTATAAATAGCGATGATGGATCGCTCACCGATTTGACCATATGACATATCAAAATGCTAAGTTTTCCATGCTGATCAAGAATATACCAACCATTTCAGTGGCAAATGAAAATTTACCCCGCAATTAATTGTCAAAGTTTTTTTCTAACCCCAATTTTGCATTGCATTTTTGGACGTTTCAGCCAATTCTAAGACTGTGTGTCATTTTCCCCCATGGCGGGAATTTGTTGAGGCAATTTGAGATTTTTGGGAAGATGCACACAGTTCCTGGATGATGCATGCATCATGATACTGCATTCTGCTGCTGCGTTTTGTTCAGAATTTCAAAAATTTAAACAAAATAAAAAAGCCTTAAAAATTCAAAAATATCCTTTCAATCCTTTAAAATTATGAATTTTGGAAATTTTAAGAAAATTTTTTTAATTTGGAAATTTGGAAAAAAACTGTGTTCAAAATTATTTTTTTTTGCGAAATTTCAGAATTTTTTTTAAGTTTCAGATTTTGAGTAAACAGGTTGAGATTTCACAAGTGAGATGAGCGAGGGGCGTGTGGTGAAAGGAATGCGTACGCTGTTAACAACAAGGGCCAAAGTGACCGTTCCGCGAGTCAGAAAAATCGTCACCACGTGTCCAAATTTCATTTTAACATCTAAATTTTGCAACATCACAGGACTAGTATTAAAAAATACGTCGAATGCCTATAGTGGTTACGCTTGGAGCTCATGGCACCAAAAAGGTTTGCCTCGTTAGTTGCCCCAAAAACCTCACAATCCCCCAAAAAGCCTTCCAGGGTGATCGAAATTTCAGATTCTGCAATAAAATTGCACATACCCCAAAAATCTCAAATTGCCCCAAAAAATTCCCGCCATGGGGGAAAAAGAAAAAACTTTGACAATTAATTGCGGGGTCAATTTTCATTTGCCACTCAAATGGTTGGTATATTCTTGATCAGCATGAAAAACTTAGCATTTTGATATGTCATATGGTAAAATCGGTGAGGGGACCATCATCGCTATTTGTTCCATGGTTGAGCTATTCTAGATTTAGGTCGGAAATGGTCGGGATGGAAAATTAAAAGATGGAAACTTAAAATTAAAAGTTTTCCAGGAACCAAAAGTAAGCCTGACTCGGGCTATACATATAGGCTGCATGCTGTATTTTTTTACAACGTGCATGCCCGGTTAACAAATATATTTTATATTGTGTCCCCTCAGATTGGAATACAATCAAACAAACCGCCTCCTGCCTTGGCGGAGCGTTGAAGGAGAAAGGTCTGCAAATGATCAAAGACTTTGACGGCAATGCCCTCCTGCAAAAGATGGCGGGCACCTTTGAAAAACGAGACTTGGCGGGGAAAATTGACCCCAAGGATGTCTCCAGGATTTGGGAAATTTCCACCAGCATGGGATATGGCGGAGTTATTGCGGCAATTTTGAACCATGTCAAAGCAAATCCGTGTTAAGTTCGGGGTTCGATGAGTTTACACAAAAATGAAACATTGATGATAGTTGTTTGCAATACTACATATGTACTCCAATTCTACTACTTAATGTTAGTTTAAATGTCAAAATATAAATTGCATCAGAAAGATATTACTTAAATAAGTAATTAATCAATTATAGTTGTTACATAGATATAAAGTTGAAAAACTCAAGAACATTTATGTCAGTAAAAGAAGCATTGTTTCCAATGGTTGTTCCAATTAATGAAACTGTTTGTTCACGATAAGGTTGTCAAAAAAGCATTACTTAAAAATATGACAACATATCAGTAATATGACATTAATGCTGCATCAGATTCCTTGACATTGCATGTAAGTCTTTGCAAAGCACGCATATAAGTATTTATTGTAGGACTGATTGCGTACACATCTTTTTTTGGAAAGCCCATCATTAAAACCCTAAATATATAACTTTACGTACATGTTTAAATACACAACCGTTTATGTACAGGGGCCCTTATGTAAGAAATACTTAGGAATTTCTTACATAAGTCTTCGTCTTTCATCATAGGAAATACTGACGATGGGGAATTTTTGCCAGCAAATGATCAGAAACTTATTTTTAAATTCCCAAATTTCTGAGAAAGCTTTGCGAGATGCCAACCTTTAATTTTTTCAATATTTTTAAAAATTTCATGTGTATGATTTGGAAAAAATCATAATTTCAAAAAAGTTGAGTTTGATATTGGATATGATAAAGCAACTATCTGGGATCAAGAATGTTATTTTTTTGAAAATCCGAGCAAAATTGGATTTTTGACGAAGGTTTTAGTGCGGCTAGTTTAGCATGGGGCGCTCCTTCAAAGCGGTGTGGCGGGCGCAAATGGGGCTATGGAATGAAATCCTTCCACACTTGTACTAGACTCACCGAGGACTACATATCCAAGGGGCATCAAGATCGGTGATTTTGTCGGTGAGGGGTTGTCCTCCTTAGTCACCAGCTTTTTAAGCGGAAATTAAAGTTGCCCTCGAAATGAATACTTAATTTATTTAGATGCTTATACAATTCGTCACCTATTCCCAACAAAAATGTGCAATTATTGTCGTAGCGTAGGCTAATACCAATGAAAAAGCCAATTTCGTTCGACACCACTGCGTAAGCAATTATAATTAACGAATGTATTACATACATATTATTACACACGTGTATATTAAAGACAGGCCTTTCGTAACAACCATTTATTATTACTATATAATTTTCACTACATATGTAGGTATACATGCCGAATGGTGTCCTCTTCCCGAGACATGGCTAGGTTTCATCTTACATGGTTTCCCTAAGCCAAACGTAATGTAGATACCAGCAAATGATTAGTATGAAAATATAATGATGAGGGCCTTGGCCATATCACGTGTGTGAGTTGGCCTAACCAAACAAAGTATCTATGCATCTATCACATATAATTTTCACTCCATATACTACTTGCTTATTTCAAGGCGATCACGCAAGGGTCGAAACACCCTGAAACAAACAGACCTAGAGTCTGTTTGTCGTCAGTTCAAGTATCAACTTGTCGAAAATCGTAGCAAATTAATGACATATATATCAACTATAGAAATGATTTTATTGATATGTTTCCTTGTGTTATTTCAAATTAGTCCAGTTGCTCCCACAAGAGAAATCTTGCATTGCCACTTTTATCATAAATGGACAAATCCTGATCCCAATGTGGAACATCTTCAAGACTTTCACGAAAACTCAAAACACTCATTCCAATCATTAGTCGAATTCACCTGGACAAAAATTAGTAGTCGAGCCGCTTACTACAACCTTTCGAAATTTTCCCTCTGGCCAAAGGATGTCATAGTTCCGGTCGTAATTAAATTATCCACCGCATGCATATCCAACAACCCAGAAATTATCCTATATACCCATTCTACGATTATAACGACTTCACCACGTTTGTGTTTTACGCGGGAAAAACATCTGCAACCTTCTTCTTCTGGGTTGAGAAACATTTTACATTCGCCTATGACTTCTGGGAATGGTGGCCATCCCGTATAATTGTAGTGGATTGGTGGGACGCGAAGCTGATCTACTTTGATCCTGGGGCAAGTCATATCTTAAATCAGGTCGTTCCCATACATAACGTGGCCATCTATACGCTCTACTTTCAACCATACGACTATCCAAGATACAATCACAATGCAAAGACTATTGCACTCATGGAAAAACCAATGGTCAAAAACTGCTTGTTGTACAAGGAATTAAGGATACTTAATACCTTTCCGAATGTGCATTGTTATTATTATCAATTTAATTTGGAAATACTGCAGTCCCAATTAAATTTTACGCTATTGGAAAGGAAAGGTAACTCCGACTGGCCGAAAATATTCCTCTTAACAATACATATAGGCAATTATTCCGACTTCCAAAAGTTTGTGGAGAACATGTTTTTAACAAATCCTGCGCAACTTGTACCCATTGTCGGCATCAAGTAGTTTTCCCAGTTACGTGGACAGTATGGTTGACACCATTTCGGTATCCAGTTTGGGTGGGATTGTGCGTTTCATGTATTTTGTTAGCATCAAGCCCAATTCTTGGGACGCATTGGAATTGGTCGAGAACAATGTTTGAAATGTACTTCATAATTTCACATTTGTTGCGACAACCCAGCCGGGACATGAAGCCTTCCTTCTGCTTAACCGCACTGGTATTGTTTGTTGTCTCTTGTGCGTATGAATCATTGATAATTGCAGGACTTATTGCACCATCCAAACCAATCGAGTACCACGATGTGGCCGAACTTTTCGGTGTATTTAAGAAAATTGTGTATTTGACGGATTCCAGCTATCTGCTACACGATTACATTGAACAGGAATTCAAAACCTGGAAAATCCCAGATCTATTTAAAGCTGGATTTGAAGTAATGCACAACCCGTTCAGTTCTGATATTCGTCAACATTCTGCGGTGTTATTAAATTCATCCTACAGGGCGCTCGTGTTACAGTACGCAAGCGATTCATACATAAAGGCAACAAGATTGCGGTTTGATCAAACGGAACGTCAAGGAAGCTATCCGTGCAACATGTTTTACATGAGTCAACGATTACTGTTGTTTGATTACTTTTTCGTTCCCTTTTATCGAGAGGTGCACAGTATCTTAACTGCTTTAAAGGAATCCGGGCTGACGACATTCCATGACAGTTTGGACGGGGAGAAATTTGTAATTCACAGGGAGTTGAAAATCGATAGGAAGATTTTTATCGAGTTGGAAAATTTGGTCAGGTTTTTCTCTTTATTGGGCATCGCAATAGGAACATCTATCCTGGCATTTATAACGGAATTGATCTAAGCGTTTCATGTATTATCCAGCGTGTCGAATTTCAAGTAGGGAAAGGCTGAACCATTTCTTTTGTATTTATCTAACAATTACCTTACATGCTAAGATTTTGTAGCCGGGCGATGGTAAGGGAAATTAAAGTCTAACACGTAATAGCCTTGCGGAATGAATTTAAAATTCGCAAATATTTATATTTGTTTTAAGTTTGTGCCAAATCTCAAGTCGAAGTTTAAATAGAGTTATCGCAAGACAGACGGCTATTCAAATACAAATTCATGCATTCTGGACGCCATGTAAATAGAGTAAATTCCGTGCATTCAGGTTCAAATGCATAACCCGTTCTTTTGCATTATTATTGCATACCCTGGCTCTAGATTTAGATGCATTTTTGTTTAGTAAGTAGCGTACGCTACTTTATGCGATCGGTTAGTTATTCTTCCTTTTCGCCCGTTTGTCAACACGATAACTCGACTATGGTTTGTTGCAGCGACCTGAAACTATTAACACATATTCGGGCTATAGGATGATACCCTGTATTGCTGGGGTGCGGCTAGTTTGTCGACATCATGTCGAAAAACGTCGCCATGGCCTACTTCCGCCATTTTTCATCCGATGTGCATGAAATTTAGACAAAATATGTTTTTTGGTGTCGTCAACACGTCGCAATATGGCGCATATTGTCACTCCCCTATTTTAGACAAATTGTTTTGATGCATTCTCGAAATATTTGCGCTACTTAGGTATCGTGTCTTGCCGCACTTTATACACAAATATGGAAGCAGAAACTACATAATTGTGAGTAGGGCAGCACCATAAGATGTGAATAAAACAGTTCCAAGATATTTTCAAATTCATCAGCAAAATACAAAGAAAAATTCGATTTGGAATTACTTTTGAAAAGTCGGTGGAAGTGGGAAATGAGCCAAAAATAATAAAAACGCTGGATTATTCAAATATTTACATACTGAACAGGTTTTGAAATTGTGAATAAGATGGGATATTCTTAATTCCGAGGTCTATCAAAATATGGTCCTCTATAAGAAATGTATGTCGATGCATCCAAACTGCAGGACGGCAGAAATCACAAATCAAGAACTCTAAGCCAGGCATCCCGGCAGAGTCGGATAAGATAATTTCGTCATTTGCAGAAAGTTGAACCCCAAAAATCGTTAACCACGACGATTATAAAAGAAATGAAGGTCTGGGAGGACGGACATAAAAGATAGTTTCAGTTGGAGTTAGCAAAAGAATTTCTACCTGGGATAGTTTCGATTAGTGTTGAGGGCATTTTCCCCGAGAGCATAATTATGCAATAAAATAAGGTATGGGAGACGACACTTTGGATCACTTTGAATCAAAGTGTTCAAATCCAAAGCGACTTTCATGATCACATTTCCAAACACTTGCTGACTCATGACGAATACATATGACCAAAACTAAACAAATTGGTAGCGTATAAAGTCACAAATATATAAACACATTTGTTTAATGCCCTGCTGATTAGAAAACTTTTGCTTTTTGCATTAATTTCAACGAAAATATTTCGTCGATTATATCGGTAATAACGGTATTACCGAAGGCCCCAATACCGAAAATACCGAATACCGGTTTTGGAAATTAGTCCCGGTATTGCATGCCCTACAGACGGCCTATTATTTGTTTTAATTATATGGTAATCAGGTACAACTACACTGCAAACAAGCTGGTGCAAATTTTAACACCAACGGTGTAAATTTGCGGCTACACCGGGATGGTGTAGATTGCTGCACCGCTGGTGAGAATGGTTGCCACCACGCGGTGACATTAGCTACAATGTGTGTCCAGTGACAATTTGGTTATTCATTTGGTAAAATACATTTGGTAATTCATTTTCTGCATATCTAAGTTAACCGTTCAAGGATGGAAAATATATAAAAGGAAGTTCAA